GGTTCTGGATGGGCGAGGACGATGAAGCTTCAGGGCCTTGGTATAACACATAAAAAGGGTATCTCCCATCATCTTCACCAAGTAAACCAACACTCTTATGGCTTGCTTCATGGAGCTCCTTCAAAAGTCTCTGAGAACTCTTGCATTGTCTCGCCACCTCAGCAGCTAGATCAATCCTACTTCCCAATCGAGCCATCATAAAACCCCATGACTCATCACTTACTTCCAAACCAGCAAATGCTTCGGTTAACTCAGCAATGGACCCGTCTGTATCTCTAACCTCTTCTACTACCTCTTCTTCCTCCACATACCTATCCCGGTCTTCCTCATTGAATTGGAAGATCATAGGTAGTATGTAGTTTGTGACCACCACTGGCGGCAAACTTCCAAACTGGATTGTCAAAGGGGGTCCTTGGTCATCCCATTCATCATCCTTGTTGCCTCTATCGAATTTGGGATTGGGATGCTCATCTTCTAGCATGTCATCTTCAGCATACTCATCTTCATCACCTCCTTCTTCTTGGAAGTCATCCTCAACCCCTTCATGAACTTTGACATCACCATGAACTTGGACCTACTTTCCTTTGTCAGTCATTGTCACCTTGAGCCAGGTAGTTACTAAGTTGTCCACCTCGATATTTGGTGAAACGAAATCATTCTGTGGTGGTGGTCCGATCGTCGCACTAAGTATTACTGGATACCTCCCCTGTCGTGCTTCTGCATTCTTACGTAGGAATCTCCTCCTTTGGGTCCTTGTCATCCCCCCAATGGCTACTGGTTGTTGACGACGCATGTCATAAGTATGCCACCCTCCTTGCGACACATTGGGCACCTTAAAAGTTCTCCTCGCGGGAGGACTTCTAACGGGAGGACTTCGCATGGAAGGAATGCCATGTGATATCCACTGCCTTCGTTACCCCTAGCCGGCTGGACGACCCCCTCCACTTGTCTCTGATAAGAAGGGTATCTCGGCCTGTTGGGTGGGCCAAGTCTTTAGTGGGCGGAAGGCCTCGCCTCATTAATTTTTTAGGCTCTTCTTGCATTGAGCACACAACTTCTCAACTTCTACGGATATGGGAGTCGATGCGGTCGTCTTAGCTTGCACGCCACTTGACGAGCCCCCATGTTCATAAGTTGCATTGGAGCTCCCATGTTGAACCGGCATTGTATCCAACACCAGCTTGAAACGGGGCAGCTCGATTTTGGAGAGGTCCGGGTTCACCATGTTGATGCCTACCACGTTAGGAAATGGATCAGTATCCACCAACATTGCGGGAACTTGATACGCCCCTTCTCAGTAGCATCCTGCAAGATGTTACGAAAAACCACACATGAGTCAGTGGCGTGTGACATGCTGTTATGCCACTTACAATACTTCTTCCCTTTCAACTTCTCGGGTGGTGGTATACTATGCCCCCAGTTAACTTGATCTGGCCATCCTTGTAGAGTTGGTCAAAACTCAAAGTCAGCCTTCGAGACATCAAATGAGTACTTGTGTGGCGGATGGGGGCCCTATTGGGTCTGCCCCCTTGCGGCTCGTTTTCAGCCTTAGCCAAAGAAGCACAAACATATGGCTTCCCCAGAGCTAACTCAGCCAGGTCTACCTCCACCTCATTGGCCTCTTGGCCAACATGGTTGACAGGGTAGTTAATTGAGGGGAAGTATTGCCCCCTTGATGCACTCCTCCTATTCTCCTCTTCTTGGAGAAGAGACTCATATCTCACAGCACAAGACATGAGTTGGAACAAGTCCGAGAACTCTCTGTCTTGGAATTTCTTCCTTAACTCAAAACTCAAGCCCCCTTGAGCAAGCTTGACAAATTCCCTCTCTGTCAAGTTGACGAAGAAACGGTTACGAGCATTCTTGAAGTTAGTCAAAAAGTGCTCGACCGACTCCCCTGGTTGTTGGCGCATGCGTGCCAAGTCAGCCATTGAGACCTCGGGCTCAGATCTATAGAACTGGGCATGGAAGATATGTTCCATCTGTTGCCAAGTTTGGACAGAGTTAGACGACAAGTTGACATACCATGCAAAAGCTGGCCCTGTCAATGAGTTGCCAAAAAGCCTTACTTGACAAAGTCTCTCACGTCTCCACATTGGACAGTAAACCGTTCCACATGTTCAACAGTGGACTGGTCACCAATACCCGTGAAGGTGGCAAACTCGAGCACCCTAAACCCTCTTGGGAATGGGTATAGTCTATCTACCCATTCCGAGTAAGGCTTGTGCTACACAGGTGGCATGGTGGGCCTTACTCCTAATCCAAATTGCTCGGTGAGGAGTTGAGCCACCTGATCCCTTAAGGCATTAGCATCATGCCCCACTTGCCCCCCCTGGCGGTACGAACCCCATGGGGTCCACACCATGCCCATGGACTTGGGGTGGTATGGGTGCTGGGTAAGCACGCGGGGGAACTTGATCCCCAACACCTAACCTTCCTCCCCCACCCATGTTAGGAGGAGCTACGTAGGGTCTCGCCACCGGTATGGATGGCGGTTGTTTAACATGGGTGTTGAACGTAGTGGCAAAATTTTCGCCACGTGGAGGCAGTTCTCCAACTCCCACATTAAGTGAAGCCTCCACTTGAGTGGTGGTGGGAATCTCGCCGCGATTCACGTGGTGAGAGGTTGATTGGGTTGTCACCGACGACGGTAAGTTATCTTGCCGTAGTTGGCCATTCTGGCCAGCGACTGGAGAAAAACTTTCATTATTAGAGTTGAACTTGTGCCAGCAATTGGCAAAGCTCGTGATTGTACTATTGGTCCATTTAATAATTGTCTAAATTGATCTAACTCGTTTGAATGTTTGTTAACTACCTCAAACATTTGACCCAAACCTCTATCTACGCGGGAATTGAGACAATCAACTTGAGAATTTACCTGATGAACCATAGCTCTGGCTTCCTCCATCAACCGACGACTCTCCACCATCATTTGGCGGTTCTCTTCCATCATCTGGAAAAGAGACACAACCGCCTCGCCTAGATCAACATTTGGCGCCGACGTGAGTGGTACCTCCGCTCTGACAAGGTTGCCTGAAGCTCCTCCATCTTGGCCTGCTTCACCGCCGACCACTTGCTCCTCCTCTACAACACCTTGTGGAAGATCACCTTCTTGATTCTTTCGCCCAGGAGCCATCGAATTAAACACACAATTGTCCCACCAGGTGTGCCGATTTGTTTTCCAACGAGGAAAAACTGGTGTTTGAAGATAATGAATACACCTTTGAATTCTTGAACAACGAAACTAACACGGTTCACTCCTCTCCGAACAATGTTCGAATGAGGGTGTTTGATGTTTTGATGGTTTTTGGGAACAATCTAAGTTACGTTACTCTACTCCTATGGTGGTTCAGTGAGAGTTCCGAAAAACTACAGGCTGATTTGCAAAGAAAAGATAAATTTTGACATTGTGCGTCAAATGTTTGGTTGTGGAACCCTTGCTTCGTTTTCGTTTCCCTATTTATAGTCATCCCTTGTAACCGTCATGTAACCGCCTCTTGGTAACTGATGCTCCATTGTTTGGTGCTTGATGTAGCTTGCTTGACGCCTTGACTGTCTTGCGTGCTTGCCACTTGATACCTTGCACCTTGATGACTTCACTTGATAGCTAGCCCCTTGTGCCATGAAGGTGTCTTGTTTGGTGAGTGAGGGCTTCAAGCTTGGTGGTACTCGTGCTAACCACTCTTGACACTAGGGTGCTTGGGGTCTGATGATGCACACTGACCCCCTTGGGGGTGACCCCCTTGCACGAGACCTAGCACGCCTACTCTGCTTGGGTACTTGAGAGGTGAGTGTCAAAGCAATGCCGACACCAACTATCCTTGCACGACATCATGCTTGACACCCTAGTGTTTGGTATCCGGTGCTTGACCCCCTTGGACGGTGTCATGCTTGACCCCCCTTGTGGTTGGATCTCCATACTTAGCCAATTTTCACATCGGGATCATGCTCGACACCCTAGTGCAAGGTAGGTGGCTACGGTACTTGGTGCTTGACCCCCTTGAACGATGTCATGCATGACCCCTCTTGCATGATGTCATGCTTGACCCCCTAGTGGTTGGGTTTTCATACTTAGCCAAATTTTGGCTTTCTTCACCACCATGGTCTAGGGACTTGCGTTTCCCTTCTTTCCTTGCCAACATGTTTGATACCCGGTAGGTGGCTAGACCCCCTTGCGTCTCGTCATACTCGACTCACCATGGATGGTATCATGTTTGACCCTCCTGGGATGATGTCATGCTTGACCCCCCTTGCACGGCATAATGCTTGACACCTAGCGCAAGGTAGGTAGACAACATAGTGCTTGACCCCACTTGCATCATCGTGCTTGACCCCCTGGGATGATGTCATGTTTGACCCCCTTGTGCTATGGGTCTCAACACTTAGCCCATTTTCGCCTTCTTTCCCCATCATGTCTAAGGATAATTACACGCAAGATAGGTAGGCGGCTGGTGGGGCGAAATTTTGGCTAAGTATGACGGGCTGCCCACTTGGGAGGTTGATGTTGAAGGGTGTCAATGCTTGGCGCTTGACCCCTCTTGTGTGAGGGGTGAGTGTTTGGTGGGTCAAGGGGTGTGTGTTGAAGTACCTGGCATGAAGCCCAAAATTCCATAATCCAAGCCCATCTCAAGCCAATTTAATTAATGTTTTTAGTTTGGCCTTATAAATCACTAACACTCCTTGAAAATAATCAATGTGGTAAACAATTACATACTATTTCTGGGCAAAGTATTGTTAAATCATTGAACACGATATGAAAATTCCGCCTCAATTTTGGCCTCTCCTATCTAAATACCCTAACTCTTATATCCTACTTTCTAAGTGTCTTAACAATCAGGGTGAATTGCAAGTTTGGTCAATCATATTACATATTTGTAACACTTTTGTCACCCGAATAGCTTTTCTTTCAATTTAGTCATCGGACATAGTAGGTTTTGTGGATGATGCTGCCGCTAGTGGGTCTTCTCCATCGCCCAATCATGGCCAACATGGCGAGATGAATGGAAAATCTGGTGGCAATTAAGCCACGGGAGGACAAGGAGCTGGACCACCGCCATCTCCGCCACCATGGTTGTCGTCGTCTTTCTAATGGAATTAGAACGGTTGAGGATCTTCCTCCTCCTAGAGGAGGAGTTAGAGCAATAATCCCTCGTCTGAATCGACCCACCTGGAAGCATCTTAGTAGCAACGTGATCAAGAGGAGGCAATGTGGAGTGGCGGAGGTGGAATTACAATGGCAGAATTGCAGCAACGGAAGGAGACCGGCGATTTGTGTGTTAAAGTGAATTATTTTTTATCTTTATTAAATGATATTTTAATTGCAAATTATGAGTTGTAAAATATAAAAGATTTAAATTTATTAATTAATAATTTATTAATTTTCACGTCAGCATTTAACAGTCAAACGTAACTGTTGACTGTCATGTAGGACTGATTTAACGGACCTAAATGATGAGTGACCACAGATGACATAAATGTGTAATATAAGTGATTAAATTGAGGAGAATGTAATTTGGGTGGCGAAACTATTACAAATATGTAATATTAGTGAACAAACTTGCAATTCACCCATGACAACCATAACAAGAAAGTTGCTTCATTACAATTTAGGGTTAATATTTTTGTATGGCCTGAACTTTGACAAAATAAACATCCTGGCCAATCTTTTCGATCTATAACATCCTGGCCTGAACTATACATCAAAATAAACAATTTGGCAAGATCCGACTTTTGACCGTTAACTTGGACGGTCAAACGCGTTGACTAACGATCAACGCGCCATGTCACTGCCAACTCAGCAAATTTCATTTTTTTTTTAATTTACACCTATTTCCATTTTTTTCCTTTATCATTTTGAACGAAAAAAACACATTTTCAATTTCGGATATATCCCCCAACAGATCTCATGGCGAAACAAGCAATCCCCGGAAACCGAACACGAACCCGAAGATCCCTCCCTCGCCGGCAGGGTTTCCGCCGCAAAAGCCAGAGCATACCAACTTTCTGACATCATCGACGCCACTGACGGATTCAACCCACTCCGAATCATCGGCCAGGGAAGCTCCAAGACCGTCTACACTGCCGTCTTCCCCGACGACGAAGATCACCTCTTCACCGTCTGTCTTCAGCCAGGGGAATCGAGTACTTACACAATCAGATGGCGCCGAGAACGATCCACGACTGCGTGAAGCCGTCGAAGGTGTTGATTGATTCGAAATCCAGGGCCAAAGTGTGCGATTACGAGATTTGTTTCAATGGAAGGAGTGGGATTGTGGGTTATGTCGATGCAGAGTACTGGAACAAGGGAGCTTCGAAGGAGAGCGACGTTTACGGGTTTGGGGTGGTTTTGTTGGAGCTTTTGACGGGGAGGAAGGCGGAGGAAGGGTTGCTGGTGAAATGGGTGGTGCCGTTGTTGAAGGATGAGGTTAGGGCAGGGGGTCTGTTAGGGGATATATCCGAAATTGAAAATTTATTTTTTTCTCTCGTTAAAATGATAAAGGAAAGAAAATGGAAATAGGTGTAAATTAAAAAAAATTAATTAAAATTTGCTGAGTTGGCAGTGACATGGCGCGTTGATCATTAGTTAACGCGTTTGACCGTCCAAGTTAACGGTCAAAAGTCGGATCTGGCCAAATTGATTATTTTGATGTATAGTTTGGGCCAGAATGTTATAGATCAAAAAGATTGGCCAGAATGTTTATTTTGGTCAAATTCAGGTCATCCAAAAATATTAACCCTACAATTTACAAGATAATTCTCTAAAAAACACGTGGTTGGCTGGTGGATGTTTAGTTTCGACAGATCAACCAAACTCGAGCCGAACCATGTATATTTATGGTTCGGTATCCTATGTTCGGAACACGCCCAACCAGAACAGAGTTTGGCTCGAGAAAATTCGTTTCCTCTCACCCATGGACCAGGAAACCGAGTTGTACCGGCCGATTCAACCAAAAAAACCGAGAACCGAGCCAGAAACGCTACGATAGGCTGATGGTGTTCAAAATACCGTGTCGGCCGATTTTTCCGGCTTAATCGGTACAAAAGGAAATATCCCCCGGTTTTGGTCTAACCGGCGGTAGAGTTATTTTAATGAATTCATCTCCTTATTGGGAATATGCTTAATCTCTTAGTATTTGGGTGTTAAGAGTGTATTGAATCCATTTCATTTGGTATTTTATCCATGAAAATTGGAATCATAATTATTGTGCCGTGCATGATAAATACTACCAAATCCCAATACTGCAGAGGAAATTAAGTGATAAACGTTTGTTGCCCCCAACCCTCTAAAAAAAACCTCTCCTCTCACTTTCTTCAAGCTTCTTTCTCTCCTTCTTTTTCTAATTCAAATGCGAGTTCATGTCGTATACGATTGATACTGGGCGCTGTGCGTATCGACCCGTACGAAAGCTAAGTCTCCGATTTTGGTCATGTGTCAGATTGGAAGAAAGTCTCGTCCGGTTCGTCGTCAAGAAAGGTTGACCATAATCAGACAACTTCCCGGGCAAGAGAAGATTTTCTCCTTCATCAACACGCCGTGGATGCTCACGGGCGATTTTCACTCTATACTTAAAAAACGTCACCGTTTTTCGAACTTCAAATTGAAAAAAAAAAAAAAAAAAAAATCGGCCGAAGGCCAAAATCCCTTATATGTTCTCTAACGAAAATCGGCAGCCAGGCTTTTCATCGTTTCTTCTTTCTTCCCCAGCCTCGCCCCGCCGCTCCTCCTCTTCACCTCTGCCGATTGGCGACTGGCGACCTGCGATCGGCGACCCGCGACTGCCTACCCGCGACGCCGTTCCTCTTCTCTTCTTTTTTGGCGTCGCGAGTGGTGAGTGGCGACTGGCGACCGGCGAAAGGTCGAGCCCAACCCTGCTCCACTCCGCTCCGCTCCGCCGCTCCTCTTCTCTCCTACTCCGTCCTCAGCCGGCCCCCTGCTCGGGTGGCCCTCTCCTGTTCAAGAACGCGTCGCCGTGGTCGAGTCTCCCTCCGCCTGCGCGAGACATAGGTAAGGAAAAAGCTTGTGCGAGATAGTATTTGGATTTTGACAATGTTTGGACTGCTGAGTATTTACAATGCCTGCGCGAGATAGGGAAGAACCAGCTCCGTAAAGCAGACAGCTCCGTTCCCACATTAGAAATCGGCTGAAAACATCTACGTCGAAACAGGATGCGCAGCATCATAGACACCAGCGATGATCCCTACGTGACGATTTCGTTTCCTGACCGCTGCTTTTCCCGGATCCACTATAACGCCAAGGCCGTCGAAAACAACGGGTAAGTACATCTCCCTTTCCCCTTTTCTCTGTTCGTTTCCCGAGAGGTTCCGAAGGAAGAGAAGAAAAGTTCCTTCTAGCATCTTCATATCCCAATCTTTGCTCTCAGTCTAGCTGCGCATTATGAGTTTTTTGCTTCGGATTTTGGGTTGTTCCTGATGGAGAAATTTTGGTTGGATTGTGTAGGACTGTTGTGGGGATAAAGTGCAAAGATGGCATTGTCATGGTAGATGTGCACTTGTTTCGATTCTCGCTTGGCCCTCTCTTGCCGCAGTGTTCAATTTTGTTGGTTTTGGTTCAGTTTTTTCACTAATTTGGTGGGTATTTACTGTTTAGGGTTTGGAGAAGCCCACCTGTAGGAAGATGATGTTAAGCGATGCCGTTCATAGGGGTGCTGGCATGGTACGCCTCTCTCATCCCTCTCCCTTTCGCTTTCATCTGCCTGGCTTTTCAATGTGTACGAATCGCAAATCTTAAAAGTCAATTTTCTTGGTTCGTTGGGCTCACTGTGTGAATTTTGTGACCTTGTCCCGCTGAACTTGACATTTTTATAGATTGAGTGTTGATTAGTAATATGCTCCATTTGTCCATTCATGCGTGGTTTTAATTACTTTCGACTCCTTGCTATATATCCATACAGTTTTTTCACTAATTTGGTGGGTATTTACTGTAATCTATGTGTTCAAATTTAGGGTTTGGAGATGCCCGCCTGTAGGAAGATGATGTTAAGCGATGCCGTTCATAGGGGTGCTGGCATGGTACGCCTCTCTCATCCCTCTCCCTTTCGCTTTCATCTGTCTAGCTTTTCAATGTGTACGAAACGCAAATATTAAAAGTCAATTTTCTTGGTTCGTTGGGCTCCCTTTGTGAATTTTGTGACCGTGTCCCGCTGAACTTGACATTTTTATAGATTGAGTGTTGATTAGTAATATGCTCCATTTGTCCATTCATGCGCGGTTTTAATTACTTCGACTCCTTGCTATATATCCATACTGTCTGTTTGGGCATGCCTGTCCTTACGCATTTACTCTTTAATACCAGGCTGTTGCTGGCTTAGGTGCTGATGTTGGAGCAATTTTTACAAGAGTGAAGTCCGAGGCAGTCAGATATGAGAAGTTTGTTCTTCTTCTATCCTTCCTAGTTGTTTCAATGCTACTTTTGTTCTTATCTGAGAGTCATTCTCATTCGTTCGTTCCAGATTAGCTAGTTCCTTTCAGGCACTAGGCCCTTACAAAACTAGTAGGATGACTTGGGAACCTGATCTGCTTACTGGTGAATGAATTAAGCTCTGTGTACAAAGCCCCACTTGTATTTGTCCGATTGTGGACTAGAATTGTAGATGTATAATCTGTTCACTTATGACTGTCTTTCCCAGCCGAATATGCCAGCCTGTTGTTCTGTTCATTCTAGTAGCTCTATGTTTTCGGCGCGATCTTGTATATACAAGGATTTTGGTTGTTTGTGATTTTTACTTGTTTCTTTTAGATTATCTGGTATCGTCTGAATGCATGCTTGCTTGCTGTTCTATTAACGTTAGCTTGTTAAATTTATGAGTGCTTGCTAATGATGTGGCCACTCTGTTCCCATGCTGCAGAGTGTACCGTGAACCAATCCCTGTGAAAGAACTTGCTGAACGTGTTGCTGGTTATGTGCACTTTACTACCCTCCACTGGTGGGGTCGGTAAGAACTGATCCTTTGGTTTTGCATATATGGAGTCATGGACACTTTTTGTGTGTGTGCATAGGTTCACTGTAAGTGGCTGATAGGAAAAAGCAAGTGAAAGCATTATGATGCATGTTTTACATTGCAGGCCCTTCGGTAGTGGTGTTATTCTTGGTGGTTATAATAGAGGTGCACCAGAGTTGTACATGATTGAACCATCTGGACTATCTTATGTAAGTTATGTGTTGTTACTAGGACACAAATTGTTTTCCTTACAAAGTTTGGTTTAAGTTTCTCCGCTGAAATCACTTGGATTCCATAAGTTCTGCTTGTATGAGACTGAAAGACTTGCAGTCATTGTGCTTCTCTGTGGGCTGTGTCATATCCTTTCAAAACTTAATATCTTTCTTCAACAATTGTTATGTAGAGGTATTTTGGTGCTGCAATTGGAAAGGGCAAGGAGGCTGCTACCAAGTAAGTCTTTACTTCTGCATTTCAACTGTTGAGATACTCTTAAATGATAGTAGTGCATCATGTTGTTCATAACAGCAAAACTGAATGTCGTTTACGCAAGGATTGTATATTTTGCCAATGATGCAATTGATGGTGCAGGCAAATTGAGAAGTTGAACCCTTCAGAGATGACATGCCGTGAAGGAGTTCTTGAAGTAGCCAAAATGTGAGTGTTTCTGCTTTGTATTATCTTATTGGACTTCATTAAGGGGACTTGAAATCTTTTACTGACGACTTGAGTCTCAATACCTTCTCGTGTTTCTGGCCTTGATGAATCTGTATTTCTGTTTTGTATGGTTTACGGTCCAATACATAGCATTTACGAGGTAAATGCTGAAGTGACGGATGGTGACTTCGAACTTGAACTGAGCTGGGTTTGTGACGAGTCAAAGAGATTACATATGAAGGTATTTATTGTCCTATTGCTTGATCACCCATGAATCTAGAAACAGAAAGGAGTAGATGTGAAGATTTTTATCTTCTTCCAACAAAAAAGCAATTATTGCAAGCCTGTGGGATATTACTAGTAACACCATATCTGTGCATCTTGTGCCATTCTGGCTGGTTACTGGTTAGGCAACTTACTGAGTGATGAATGGAGATTGTATGTCCTATCCCTTCAAAATCATGGCTGACCTTCCCTGTACAAGTTTCTTACTTTGAAAACTGAAGTTTTGTTTTTCCTGGAACTTGAAATCAAGATGTGGTTTTTGTCTAAATGATGTTGATAATCAAAATAACGAACTCATCGAAAAGAAAGACATGGTTGTATCCGTCTTTTTGTGCACTTCCTGCTGACGAACTTTTGTACGTGATGTCAATGGTTATTTTGCTACACAGGTTCCTGATGAACTGCTAGAGGAAGCCAAGTCTGCTGCAAGAAATATGTTATTATCGGTGAAAGGATATCATTGGGAAATCGATCACAAAGGGCCTTCACCGTCAATTTTCCAATTCCATGATGATTTGCCTTGTTGAAATGCAACTCCTGAGGCAATTAGTTTAGTTTGAGCTATGTAGTTTAGTCGTACATGAGTTGTGAATTTTGCGCTTTTGTGGCATGAATTCCAAATTTAGTGAAACATTGTGGCTGCTTCTTGTATGGAACCTACGTGAAAGTAACTACTTAGTTGCTTGAGTCATTTCGTTGCAGTGTAAACAATGTTCTACTCCGTGTGATTCAAGAACTTTCTTAGCACTCTCTTGTTGGATCATTTGCCAAGACTGACAATCTTTGAATGATCAAAAAGGCTCATTTGTTTCACTAGACTGCATCGCTCTAAGTGAACTTTCTTTCTTTCATATAGTTATGGCGTTAGTCTGACTGTCTATATGTTGGAATCCAAAATATTCTTTGGGTGGTTGATGGTTCCATTTTTAATCGTTATGGAATTTATGGAATTGCTGGTTAATTGTTCATAGAATCGTTCATGCGCTATAATATAAAGTACATATAGTATACTAATTTAGGAGTGAAAATATGACTGATCATAAACAAATTCGAATGCGTATAGTTTATCACCACAAAGTTGGAAGAAAGTATTCAAACCACCTCAAAAAAAAAATCAAAATTTTTATTAGATCAATTTATTAATCAGGGTGGCAATTCGTATTGGACTACAAAAAGCTGATAAGGAAGCTGGAAAATGAAGAAAAGGAATAAAATTAAAGATCGAGATTGGATGATCTTAGTTTACGTTAAAATATTTGTTTCATAAATTTTTCTGGTTAAATTTATGAAGCTCTGGACCAATCAAACAGGGTGGTTCATTTGGGTCATGTCAAACCGTGTAAAACCATAGGGTCCATCGCTAATCGTCAAATCAAATAAACCGAATTGCTATTGTAACTGGTTTAGTGGTTCTGGTGGCAAGCAGTTGAAACACAAGATATTATCTTAGTATCATAGAATTTTTGGCTAATTCCACTAAAAATGCCAACTTTTAGAGACTTCGCCATTTGTATTACGAAACTTCAATAATTCCAATAATAATTCAACCTATTGAGGGTCAACGTCATCTGTGTTAAACAAAATTCAGTTGATTGTTAGAGGTAACAGTTGAACTAATGGTTGTGCCACGCAAGAAATTCATATTTTCAATATTAAATAATAATTAATTTTTATAAATGAAATGTATTTGGTTGTTTTTACCCTACCACAACCCCTAGTTTTTATAGCCATAAGGCTTTCTCCCTGGCCCTTCATCATCTAATCATCTTCCTCCACTTCTAGCTTGAAACAACAACCAAGGCAGCCACAGAGTTTTGGAAGGGGGCAGTGATTATATTTCATATGAAATTCATAATTATTTGAGTTATGAGCTTATGATAGACCTGATGGTGTTCTATTTGATGCCTTTTTTGTGTTATTTTGTGCTATTCAATGATACTCAAGATGAGTATGGATCACCAAGGCCTAAAATAGAGATGGATTTGGAAATCAGATACTCACTTTATGCCCAAAACCAACAAATCTGATGGTGCAGCAAGCCCAGCATTGATCGATGTCTAACAAGAGGTCTTTAAGTCAAAACAAGCACAACTTTGGAAGAGAGGTTACTTTTGGGCCAATAAACCAAGCCATAGAGGAAAAGGGGCATCAGCCTCAACCGCTGCACTACCGCCGCTCAGGCCCAGCTTTTAGAAGACCCTTATTTCTTCCCCAAGTCGAAGGAATCCGAGTTCAAGTCGAACAAGACTGATTTTAGCCGATTTTAGGAGGAAAAATACTAGAAAATACCCTTTTGTAACTAGTATAAATAGGATGCTAGGATAGATTTTTAAGACACCTTTGACCAACACTCTGCCCTTGGGGCAAAAATAGCTATCCATAGTAAGGAGGGAAAGCCCTATTGGAGCTTGACTAGGAGACATTCACCATCGATGCCTATAACTTTGATGATGTTGTTCTACTTCTCTATGGTGTGCTAGTCGATCTGTTTAGGGATGTGAATTCTATGATGTTTATGAATTACTTTCCATGAATCAATGAGATGCTCATTTCGTTCTATGCTTTGGTTCATCGATGCTTGTTCCTTTAGATGCTTTGTTGAATGCATGCTTTAATCATCAATTGTGTATGATCATCGATGCTCTTTATCATATGATGTTTTGATTGTTCTATGTGTATGAATATATTATGACTACTACTATAGTATCGTCTATACTTAATACTACTATTATGGGAGACAATGAAACTAATCTTGTGTAGTAGGCATCAACTTTAGATAATGCTTGATAATTTAGATCATCGATGCTATAGACCATCGATTATGGCTCAAGAGGGCCACACTTTTTTTTTAGAAAGGGGAGGCGAGACGCCAAGGATTACAAAGCAAAGGGTTCAAAGGTACAACCTATAATTGTAGCAGGAAAGGACAGGAGAAACAACCTCTACTTACAGAACAACTACCAGGCATTAATTCTGAGTTTGCACAACCATTCTGGGAAAGCTCACCCCCAAAGTGTCTTCAAGAAGGATTTACTGAAGCTGACTAGACGGATTCATTAATTCGTGCGTACCAAAGGGATAGACGAGACTGTGCTTCGAGAGCCAGCCCGCGGCTCTATTCCCCTCTCTGTACGTATGAACTAATTGCACCACCCAGTTCTGAGCCATCAATATGCGAATAGCCATCAAAATGGTGGATTGAGGATGAACTGGATCGTCACGTCTCCTTATTAACTCAATAGCTAGCTGCGAGTCGGTTTCCAGAATGAGAAACTGAGTGTTCTGCTTCCAAGCTGTTATCAACCCTTGATGAATTCCCCAAAGTTCGGCCACAATAGCAGAACCAGTGCCGATTTTGCAGCAAAATCCTCCTAGCCAATCCCCATCACTGTCCCTGATAATTCCGCCTGCAATAGCCATACCTATGCTTCCTTGTGTCGCGCCATCTGTGTTCATCTTACTCCATCCCCTCGGAGGAGCACCCCAGCCCACAAGACGATCTGTTCGGGTAGGCTTGCTGCTGGAATCAAGATGCAGGGAGGCCCTCTCCCAGGTCCACAGCCATCCTGTAGCCTTGCTCTTAACATAATTGATGAAGGAAGAATCCGCTAGCTTCTTGCCCTGAAAAATGTATTCATTACGATATTTCCAAACATACCAGCATACTAACGAGAAAAGGTTGAGCCAATCCTCCTGTCTCTCCCCGCTGTCCCTCTTTTTGAGATTCAAATGGAACCAGGACGCATGGTCTGTTGTGAAGAATGTGTTCTACTCCTGAAGCGGGACAAGACCTTCCCAAATCTTCCTAGTCGGAGTGCAATCTCTGAGGCAATGCAAGTTTGTCTCTGCAGTATGCTTGCAAATGGGACATTTGTCATCCATGGTTAAATGCCGCATTTTGAGGCGACTGTTGGTGGATAACTTCTCCTTGGCTGCAAGCCAAACGAAGAACCAAACTCTTTCAGGGCAATGCAGCTTCCATATATGTTTCCAGAAGGTTGAGTCCTGATGCGCAGCTTCTGGACAGCAGACCTGGAAAGCGGATTTGGCACCAAATAATCCATTTGCAGTGTGTTTCCAGAACATGGTGTCATCATTGCTGGTTAATGGATCAAGGAGTATTGACCGGATCTTGTTGGTGGCTTTAGGTGGAAGGTAACCTTCGAATTCTTAAAGTCTCCATCCGCCTTCCTCCTCCCAATAATCAACTACTGATTTGCCCCTGACTTCCATAGACACCTCCATAGTAGTTATCTCCAGGAGTGGTACCTGCATTGCTCAAATATCAGCAGGAGGTCAACAGTTTGTGCAAAACTGTTCCAGGCGAAGGAACCTCCCTTTTTTTCTGAGAAGTTGCAGTCCTTGTCTCTGTCCCCCGTATTTGTTCCTCATCACTTGAGCCCATAGAGTCGAATCTCCCGTAGCTAGCTTCCAAGCTCCTTTAGCCAACATTGCTTGGTTAGCAAGCTTTGTCGGTCTGATCTCAACGCCTCCTTGGTCTTTAGGAAGAGTGAGTTGATCCCAGCCAACCGGGTAGAACTTCGTTTGACCTTCCTCTTCTCCCCAAACGAACCGGCGGTTTATCTTGTCAATATTATTGGAAACAGAAGTAGGTAGTCGTTCTATGAACATAGGATATATAGCCATGGAGGAAGAGATCGATTTCACCAGGGTAACCCGAGCAGCTGTTGATAAATGATTAGTCTTCCAGGTTGCCAACTTGTTTTGTATTTTTAGGAGAAGTTGATGGTATCTTTCTTTGGTGATCTTGCCATTGATGGCAAAAATTCCCACGTAGCGGCCAAGATCGTTGGTGAGGTTTATTCCTGCCCTCAAGCTCAATCTCTGGGCCTTATCTCTATGCACGTTGGGAGAAACAAACATAGCTGATTTGTGAAGGTTAACTTTTTGGCCAAAGCTTAAGCAGAAATCCTCCAAGCATGACCGAATAACATCAATCTGTCCACCCTCCGCTTCTGCAAACAAAATCAAGTCATCAGCAAAAAATAAGTGCGAGAGCTTTGGCCCATCCTTTGAAAGAGGGATAGGCTTCCAAAGCTTTTCCTAGACAACTTGTTCAATACGATGAGCTAATCTGTCCATACAAAGCACAAATAAGGAGGAAAGAGTGTCTCCCTGACGAACTCCTGACTCTTACTCAGGTCGCCAGTCACGCTCAGAAGTACTTCCTCCGGCGACTCAACATCAAAGCGAGGCCGGCGTTGAGGAAGGAGCGGCGGCGGAGACGATCGCGTCATGGCCACGGTGGCGTAGATGGCGGAGGTAAGTTTTATTTTTATTTTTTAATAGTTGTAAAATGAGGTGGAAATTGTAAATATTTAAATTTTATTATTTTTTTAATGGCCACGTCACTCATTTAACGGTCAACTATAATAGTTGACTGCCACATCAGCAAAAACTAACGGAGACTAACGGAGAGTGATCAAACTTGAACTATTGAAATAATCTTTGTGACCATGAATGGAATTAAATATTTGCAGTGACCAAATATAAACGGTTTTAGTAAACCCAGTGACCATCTTTGCAATTAACCCAAAATATATTAATGAAGAACAATCTTATAGCCATACCACGTTAGATAAGGAACAAAATATTCAAGAGATTGTTTCTCTTGAGTGGAATATATTTTAATGATTCAAAATTCCTAAGTTAAATCTCAAAATTATAGTATGAGAATATCATGTTAGTGATATAGCATATTGATCGTAACATAAAAAATTCTTTAATGATTGAATGATATTTTATGGATTATGATAATCATTAGTTGGGAATCTTTTGACCAATGCTAAATAGAATGATAAGAAACATCAATCTAGGACTGATAATCTTCCATAAGAGGTCTAAACTAAAATTCATCAATGATATGATCTTACCTTGACGGGGAAATTTTGACTCAAGACCTTTGTTAATGGATTAGGATGTTAAGTCAAAGTTAAATAGAATTGGCTGAGGACACACGTATGGAATATTATGTTGATTCTCTATATTTTATCAAATCGAAATGCGATATGGTTTTTCTTTTAAAAAAAAAAACAAGGAAATGAAACTGCATGTACGTACTTGGCTAAGTATTTTACATAATACATATTTCATAGTTAGAATAAGGAATCTTTTTTAACATAGGCAGGTACAAACCGAAAAAGTCAAGAAATCAGAGAACGGAAAATAACATCGTGCGAAAGTCGACCAATAGTCGAACTTCTGATGAAAGGGCTTGCTTTGCCACAAAATGGGCGGCCCTGTAAAGCTACACTGAGCTAAGGTACAAGAACAAAAATCAAATGACTGCGCCAATCGGTGGATGTCCTCCAGTATCGCTCCTCCCGCCACGTGACGTCGCTCGCCCGATAATATCCGTCGAATCACCAATTGCGAGTCCCCAAAGAATTTGACAGATAAAAAACCCCTAGTTAGACACCAGTTCATTGCATCGCGAAGTGCCAAAAGCTCCATAAGGAATGAGTCAATTATACCGTCGTAGAACTTACCGAAAGCAAAGGCAAGAACGCCATATTGGTCAAAACCAACAAAGTCGATGCTGCCTCCCCGATCTTGCTTGATAGCTCCCTCAAAACGGACTAGGGAGGGATTGGAGGAAGCATGGGCTTTATCACTCGAATTCGATACAAGCACACCAGCTGTTGATGGTGATTCGAATTTTTGGTAAGGACCATTGTTACTACCTCCCTTACCTTTTATTTTGTTGTTTTTTTTCCAACAATGATAAATTTTAAAATTTTATTATTGTTTTTCCCATAGATTTTTTTTAATTTTTAGCTAATAAGATCCGATATTTGATATTTTTTTAAGTTTTTTATTTATGAATTAATATGTGCATTAAATATACAAAAGGCTTGGCACATGTGATTCGAATATTCATATGTTTTGAAAAGCATTGAAAATTGGATACCCATAAATGTGCTAAGAGAATAAGAATTATAGGTAAAGAAAAGTTCAAGACAACATTTAATGCACATATTGTTTGAAAAATGGCGGAGGTAGTGGATCTGGTGTTGGGGTTAAGAATATTGTTTAGAAGGAAGAGACTATGCATGGTTGAGATAGGAGTTTCAATGATTTAGATATGACTTGAGCGAGGTAAATTATATCTGCGTGGAAATGATGTTTCAGAGTTGCAAATAGTTCACTGTTATACTTTTGGTTTCAATGAAATATAGGAGAAGAGGAAAACACTTGGTAATGGTCGAGATAATGGATCCCGACTATTGAATGTGGAGATCATGGTTTTATTGATGGAAATGAAGGCAATGCTATCGATGGAGATGATGATGCTATGCGGAGCAACCACAAAGAAGTTAAAAAAATGATTAATTTATGACAATGTGGTAAAAAATTGGAAGTATCATTTGATAAAAAAATTTAGGCTTCGATTCCCTAAAAAATGGAAGTTTCATTGATTTTATTTGATAACCCAGGGAACCTCAGCACCACGTGCCTCTTGAGCGACAGCGGAGCCTACTAAATCATTGGGGGTATCTGCATACTACCGAGGCTTTCTGCTACCAACATCGGGGAGGTTTCGCCTACGATACAAGGGTGCCGCCGGGTAGATATGACTTGGAGCACTCATCTGTTTAATTTCTAACAACAATATACATAGATGGCACTAATTATAATGTTAGTAATCTTTATGATGGATGCAGTGATGCACACTTTCTGTTTTTCAGGAACTGAATAATTTGACTTTCTTGCTATTTTGTAAAATTGATATTTTTTAATTCACATGACCTTGGTTTTGACTGCAATGCTGATCAAACGTCTCCGTATCAATCACATTTCATCCTACGCCCCTCATTCTCCTCCCAACTACGTCGGAAAAAAAACCTAGGCCTCAGTCGACAACGGAGGAGTTCGAAGCTCTTTCGCCGCCGGTTTTGTCATGACACCCGAGATGGGATGAGTGTTCGGCCAAGAATACCTCCATCGCGAATCCGCTCCCTCGTGTCTCCTCAATCTCTGAACGACGAATCGACCCGGTTGAAGCTTTTCTAGTGCATCTCCTCCTCTTCTCCGGCGTGGAATCAGTGTTTGAAGCCCTTTGTCGATGCTCCGGTACTCTCCCTCAATTTAATTTCTAGGGGAATTTGATTTTCTTTCTCTTGGTTTGCTTCTGTCGCTTGTAGGAACTTCGTTTTTGTTCGTATTTGGTGGATTCAGAATCGCTAGGGCAGATTATTTGGTTGTTTGACTACTTCGTTTTGGTTCGATGTTTTGGCGGATTCAGATTCACTGTGTTTGTTCGAATGGTTTTGGGTATTCTGAAAAGGCATGTCAAGAACTGTTATATCACTAATCCATCTCTAGTAGACTAGTACTACTCATTTGAAGTCCTCTGATTTAGTTCTCATGTGTCAATGTAGCCAAATCGCCATTGTAGATGAACTGATACTCTGCTCTGTGAATCACTGTGTTTCAGTCATGTGAGTTACCAACACAAGAACTCCAACACAAACTTTTGAAGGGATTGAAATTGGACAAGGCAGGCGTACTATCCTATTCTGGTGCGGGAACTCCAAATCGGTGCGGGATCTGTCTGCAGCTTCAACCCTTCGTTATCAAGCAACTTTGTGGTCATCGAATTAATCTCTCCCCAGAGCATCCAAATTTATTTTCGATTGATTGGCGAACAATCTCCTGCACAAGTTCCATCTCAAAGGAATGCCTCCAATCTGACTGTTGCCATGAATTGAAGGTCCATTTGTTCTTGTCTTTGTCTGCAATAAACTTCTCTGAACTCCCGCATAACTGAAATAAGAATTGAGGAAGCACACAATCATAAAACATGAATTTCGTGAGTTGTAGAGAGCAACAGAATGTTTACTGAAATTTGGTAGGAAAATCGAAACTGGAACTTGAGGGGGTATGTGTCTGATAATATAATTGTGTTTCGAGTCTTATTTAGTTATTGTTGAAATTGAATGTTATATTGTTTCTCCTAATACGAGTTTTTGGTCCGTATGTACTTTTTTCACTCTCCTAATTTGCATAGCAACGGGAAACTGAGGGATTATGCTATTATAGTAGAGTTGTGTTTGTAGTCTTGTTTAGTTAATGTACCAAGGCTTAAAATGGTGAATGCTAATTTGATTCTCTTAATACGATTTTTAGTCCATCTGTTGCTTTTTCACTCTCATAATTTGCATGCTTTGACTTCATATGAGTACTTCAACTTGATTTGAGCAAGAAAGCTTATGTTTAATATAAACATTAGGAAGTCACAGAAGGGTAACCAGTCCGTAGATCCACAAAAATGATTGAGTTGATGTCTTTATGAGTTTATTTTCCAACAGTATTTTCCAAAATTATCAAGTAATTGTTTTAGGGATTATTGTTCAACAGAGTGATCATATGAAGCCATTGATGATTAGCTTTTGTGCATACTTTAACTTGAAAATGCATGACTTATATGATGTATCGGTATGATGAAAATGAGAGAGATGTGATGCATGCTATAGAAGTTGATAAGTTCCAGCAAATTCTTTTAGGCTTGATGATGAAATGTGTGCTCAACGAAGCAAAATAGTAATAGGCTTAGAACTGTATATTTATAACAAGTCCAGTTCACCTCTTTAGCATGGTTTCTATAGGGAATTCATAACAAAGCAAACAACTGTGAACTGTGAAGTTTATTACATTTAGATAATACAGATTATCATGTCATATGTTCAGCTACTCAACTTTGACTAATTCTTGTTTGGTTCTTTTCTGAACATTTCAGGCTAAGAGTGAGATTGTATAGTCGGTATTTATTTGGTTCTTCCTCGTAATCATCATCTCCTATAAGGTACGTCCCTTATAATTTCATGTTTTTCTTTAAATTTTGTTGAGGGCTGTTATGTGTTATTCTTCTTTGTGATACTGCTGCTGTCTTTTTCCATTTTATTGCTTATTGTAGGTTGTCTAGGCTTAAAATTTGCTCTACATGTCATCCTCCTCTCTTTGTACCCCAATTTCCCATCCAAAAAGCAACATCAACGATGGCAAATTCACTTTTTTGCTGCTAAATTCATTCGAGAGGTTTTTTTTTATTTTAGGTATATGCTGGATTTTAATTTTTGTACAACCTAATGGACAAGAGTTCGATGAACAAGTCTAGGTTAGTTGTGTATACGAGGAAGGGGTGGAAAACTTCGTTGATTTTGCATTCTGAAATGCCTCTTCAGAAGGGAAATTCTTTTGTCCTTTTGTATTCATATCAAGATTATTAATTAACCTCTGATGTAGTGATTTATGAGATAATTACCAATTCTTGTATTCTCACAGCACTACTTACATGACATATTTGTTAAAAACTGCTAAGCACTTTGTTTGGTTCACCCAGATTCTTCATTAGACTATGCACTTGGATTTGGTTGCAGTACACACAGCAGCGGCATAATAAATTAAACTGTCTGAGTTGAGGATGCATAGGCTTACTTGATTTGTTGTTCCATATCAGCGCATTGATCTTGTGCAAAGTGATGGGTGATTTTTTTAATATGTATGTAGACCTCATCTTATCCAATAGATTCCTAAGATAAGCTAGAGCATGAGGCCTACTTTCATCCTAGGACCTCCTCAAGCCTAGATAGAATTGCAAAACAATTAAGTTTTGACAAACTCCATTCATTGACACCCAATTTGCTTTTGACATTCGATAGATGCTTTTTCTTTGCCCCTTGCAACCAAATATGTCAAAAATAGCTAATGAAATGAGCATCTTTTTTAGTAGGACATATGTGTGCATGTTCTTTTCCGTCACCATTCTTCACTTTGACGTTTGGATTCAATCTATCATCCCGCTGCTGGCCACCTGTTTTTCCTGTCATCATCTGTTTGTTTTGAGATGTGATTCCACATAAATAACCCGGTTTGCGTTTTTTAAATATCATTGTAAGTTGATCAAAATGGCCACTTCAATTGAATCAGATGGAAAGTCAAGGATCAGCAGAGCTGATTGGCTTCACTGCTTTGGGTGCGGGTCTGCTGTTGCGCAATGTCTGGTTGCACCGGAAAGCTCCGAGTGCAGGTGAGGAGTCTATTGAGAAGTTAGCTCATCAACCGCCTCATGCACCCAGCATAGAAGACACTCTACAGTCGATAGATCGTCCATCAGATGCTCATGATCAAGCGGATGAGCTTTTTAAAAAGAATCCATTCGAAGATGCTGAGAAGAACTTTGGGGCATTCCTCGAAAGATACATTATCTTTCCTCCAGTGCTCCCTCCCAACAAGCAATTTGCAGATCTCACCTTTGCAGTTAGCGATGCGTGCGTTCTCTTTTTCTTTTATTTATGTAATTAATATTATTGCTGAGATTGATTGTTGTAAATATTAATGTTTTTTGCGTGGTGTGTTTGCCAGTTTTGATGTGAAAGGTCACATAACTGGATTCGGGAGTCCAAGTTGGGAAGCGACACACGAGCCAGCGGAGAAGATGGCTGCAATTGTCGGTGATCTTTTAGAGCAAGGAGCAACCTGTGTTGGAAAGACAGTTTCAGCTGAATTGGGATTTGGGTAATTTCCTCTCTCTCTCCCCTGCTGACGACTACTTGTCACTTTGTTGCTGATGTTCTTTTCTCTACTAGGATAACTTATGCCCACGTCGGAACTCCTCTAAACCCTCAGTTTCCTCGATTTGATTCTGGAGGTTCTTCTGGTGGCCCAGCTGTGGCGGTTGCGTCTGGCAGTGTAGACTTTGCACTGGGTGAGTATGTTTTCTATTCTGTTCTACTCTTTATTTAATGATATACCATTTATCATATACACTCTATTTATTATGATATTTTATAACATGTGTTCATTTTTGCTCTCATTTTTCAGGTATTGATACAACTGGAGATATCAGAATTCCGGCATCACTTTGTGGTGTCATTGGATACCGACCATCTCATGGGCTCATTTCAACGGTTGGGGTTGTTCCCAATTCGGGTAGTTTAGATTGTGTGGGTAAGACATTATTAACTTGATGCTTTAACTTTTAAGTTGCTTCAAATGTTTGAGGTGATTTTCTGACTTTTCCCCTTTTTAGGAATTTTGGCCCGTAGTTCTTCTGTGCTGCGAAGATTAGCAAATCAGTTATTACATCTCAATCAGGCCAATCATAAATCAGTTTCGAGGCAACTTGTCTTTGCCCGTGATCTATTTGATTTGTTTGAGCTTCGAGCTGAGGGTGCATATGCTGTAGCCGATTTAGTTAAAGGCCGATCTGGCTGTAAGTTTCAAATATGTAGTTATTTGACTTTTCTATTTCTCAAATTGCTTTATTCATTCTTTAACTCATTTGTTAATTCAGTAAAACAACTTTCATTGTGCAGACGAATCTCCAATGCATGTGGATTTCATTCAACATGTTGCATCAGAAGTGCCCAGCTTAAGAAGATTCTATAAAGAAGATGCAAACCTTTCTGAAGCAATCCCGAATGCTCTGTCTTCTGCCATGTATTCACTACAGAGGTAAAGATTGTGTTTTTGCCGTGAATCATATTGAAATTTCTGATCGTTTGACTTCTGATGTTGACTTGCATAACATTAACAACTTCCTTGCAGATATGAATGGAGAAGAAACCATGACGAATGGCTGAAGGAAGCGAGGCCAGAAATATCTTCTACTGTGTCTAGACGTGTTCATGCATCTGTTACCCTCGGAGAGGACGAGTTGCAGTTGTTATACCGTGTTCGGATTGAACTGCGGCGTGCTCTAGGGACTCTCCTCAAGGTATGGGTTCCTCACTAAGATTGACTTGCCTCTTGTTCTTGGATTCCTCACCAAATTGTCACGATGAGCCCTTTAATTTTGAAAATAATGCCCAATAAATTTGATGAGGGTGAAAACATTCAAATTTCTCTTTATCTGAATCATTGACGAATTTCACTATTTTTCTGTTATTGCCCAACCAATTTAATACAAGGGACCCCTGTTTTTCTATAATCATTTATTTTCTATGGGTTAGTTATGGCTTGTATATCACACTCTAAATCTGGAGTTCCTAGCTAATTTATAGGCCATCGATGTGCATGTATGCCAGTACTAAGACCTATTTAACGGGTGTGGGTAACACAGATCGTTCTCATTCAACATTGTCGATATTTTGTGTATAGCCCAAATCCAATTATATTAGGTATAATGAGAAGAATGTATTAACATCGATTGACTGTGGTACTGATGGATATTGTAATCTTAATATTATTACATTTATATACTGATGATGTATGACAATGAATTGGCATCAACCTGTTGTTTTCTTGATTCCCAGGATGGTGGGATTCTCGTTGTTCCTACACTCGGCGATCCCCCACTTGAGTTTAAAAGCAAAAGGGACTCTAGTGAATGTTATGCGAGGTCCATGAGCCTATGTAGCATTGCTAGTCTCTCTGGCTGTTGTCAGGTAGCTTGTTATTGCTGAATGCTATTTGAATCTTTCTGCTTGTATTGTTATCAGTGTAGTGGCTGAATATGTATTACTCACTTTATGTTTTTTTTAGGTTACTGTCCCGCTAGGCAAGCGAAAGGGTAGTCCACTCTCTGTCTCTTTTTTGTCGGTACACGGAGCTGATGTGTTTCTTCTTGACATGGTGGATATTCTTCAATCAAAAGGCAAACTGGCTTCAAACTTAGCCGTAATCCCTGCTCCGAGTGCGAATATAGAGGTTGCGAAACTATTGAACGAGAAGGTTAGTGTGTTGCATGTATGTTTTGTGCTTCATTACAATATGGACAAGAACGTAGAAGTTCGTGAAGCATTTTATTACACATATGTTAATAATGAAGTTTCTGTTGGCATAGGGCAATGGTGCAAGTGAGGTAGAAGGATGGCACAGCGCTATCAAATACTATAGTGAAGCTATCCGTCTCAATCGTAGAAATGCCAGCTACTATTGCAACCGGGCAGCAGCTTTCTTGGAACTATCCTGGTACAACTTTTTTTTAATGTTTTGTCTGTCTGATGGAGCTTGGTTCTGGATGTTCGTTTATGAGTCGTGTTGAACCTTTTCAGCTTTTTTGATGTCGAAAGGGACTGCACCCGAGCAATAGAACTTGATGAAAAGGTTAGGAGCTTTTTCATTTTCATTTATAAAATGGGTCACTTGCTGTATTGCGGTTCATTTTAATGTGTTTCTTATTTTGCAGAATGTGAGGGCGTATCTGATGCGTGGAACAGCCCGAGAGATGTTTGTAGACTATGCAAATGCATCTCAAGGTGATTTGCTAAATTTTTAATTTCGGAATTTAGTTTAGGATAAGATGAATCAAGTTGGATATCCAAACTAGAACCTTTTGTCCGCTCAATTGCATGTGATTTAGGATTTGGTTGATTGCTTTAACAAATTATTTGTTGTTTGGTTCACAAATCTAACGAGGGAGAGGGGTTTCTTTCTTATTGTGACCTACAGATTTCAAGCGTGCACTTGTTCTGGAGCCAGGAAATAGGGTGGCTGTGAGTGCTTTGCAGAAGCTAGAAAAGCTTTCTTTGAGATGATTGGCAGCTTAGACATACAGACTTCTTTGAAGGGTAGTGTTAGTGGAGAATGAGAATTATCAACAAGACTCAATCAGTCAGCTGAGGTCTTTTGGCAGGTCTAATCCCTAATTTAGTCGTTTAACTTAGCTATGTGCTGCATGATACCTATTAACTTGGATGTGGAGAAGTTAGAGCGTCAAACTCAGGGAGGGTTCAAGACAGCCTCAATTCTGTGCCCTTGCTTGATGTTCATAGCTGTTAATTTTAGGGGCATGTTCATCGCTGTTAATTTGACTTTGTTTAAAGGTGAGCGACGGATTTATGTCTTGCTGTGGAGGTTTGCTATACTAGCCATTTGACATGTAATCCTTTACCCGGGTCACTGAAATTACACTTGCCATTTATTATTGTTGACACCACGATCAGAGAATGTCACATCGGGAAGAATTTGTTGATATGAAGTATAAAACAGTCCTAAGGAGCACAAATGTGAATTTTAATATTAAAAAAATAACATTTAAAAAAATGGGAGAGTTTACTCCAAAAGGAAAGAAAAAAAAAGTAAACACACGGCGCTGTTTTTGTTGGAAATGAGAAAAAGCAATACTAAGATGTAAACAATCCAAGCCTAAATCCTATAAAAGCAAGTAGTACACAAAATAATAACTCCCTAAAAGTTTAGCCTAAATCAAAAGGTATTAACAAGTTGTCAATTGCGTTGGCCTGATAGAATAAGTGGATTGAGGGTTAATGGTAGATCGCTTTAGTTCGGTTTAGGTTGGATACATGAAAAAATTGTTATATCGTTCGTACAGTTATAAATTATATCAAATCCCATCTACATGTGGATAATGAAACATAACATATTACGCCCAAATAACTGTTCGTACTTGAATCCAACATAATGAAAATTCAAACGCACTCATATAACATCAATATTAAAATTTACGATTTAGAATTCCAAACGTAGGGTTAGGCAATGGAAGAACCCCGGGAAAATGCGCAATTTGCAAACCAAAGAGAAAAATGACACCGTGTGGCCTCCAAACTGGGAACCTTGCTGCAGGTTAACCCGGTAAGTGTGTAGCACCCATTTTCTCACCGAGTCCATGTCAATCTGAGTGAACCGGCGGGTTGACAACCTTGGCTATGACTAATAAATAACAATGGGGTTAATTGCATGGTTGGTCACTGAGATTACAAAAAACGTTAAAGTTTGGTCACTCGAAATATTTAAATCCATTGGTGGTACTTGAGTTTACTGAAATCGTTCACGTTTGGTCACTCTCCGTCCAACTCCGTTAACTTTTGCTGATGTGGCAGTCAAACTCTCAAAGTTGACCGTTAACTAAGTGACGTGGCAACTAAAAAATTATTAAAAATAAAAACATAACTTATATATTTTCCACCTCATTAAATATTTCGAGTGACCAAATTTGTACTGATGTTGCAAAAAATAAATATACTTATAAACCATATATAAAAGATTTCAAACATCACAAATATTTTAAGTAAGCTAATTATTATATATGATAAAAAACACTCCTTCAACCAGCCAAGTGAATATACCGTTGCATCAAACTTTGAACTGTTTTATTTATCTGAGAATCAAAATGCATAGTCAAGTCATTTTTACTCAGTCACTTGTACTGACTTTACAAATTTACTAACACATACAAAAATGGTGAAATAAACCGGTACATTAAACTCAATCTCATTTCATGATTGTTGATATAACCGTGCTAGATTAGTAAAAACATTTGAGGCTTGGCGATTAACCGGACTATAACAAAAATAAGAAAACCAGTCACTTATTCTTTGCATAAAATATTGTTGCTTCATGATCATTCTAAAAAATTATACCTTAAGAATTCCACATCACTTCTATATATATAATAATTGCAATTTGAAATGCAATATTCAAATCAATGGTATTTGGTCCACCATTTATAAGATAAAAATAAATTAAATTGATCATTAAAATTGAAATAAAATAATAAAAAATGAAAATAAAAGTATCAAATGCTAAAGAAATACTTAAGATGGACTTAGTTGGCTAGCTAACCATGTTGGAATAGTCATATGAATTTTTTGATTTTTGCTTTTTATATATTTTTAATTTAAAAAATAACAACAAATTTGTTCAGTGTAATTAGTTAAACTTCTTGTGTTCCTTAGAAGATATTCGGGTTCAAACCTCAATACTAATACATTTTTTAAATAAAAATAAACAATTGTATGACGAATGCACGCCTTCTACTTTCATTTTCGTTGCAAAGAATTTGAAATGGAAGAAAATAAAGGAATGAATCCCATCTTATAGATAGATAGATAATATATGTAGAAATGTCTTATCAAATTATATATATTATAAGATAGATAAATATATGTGCAAATTGTCTTACCGGAAGAAGTTGGTGTTAGTACATGTTATTATATATATGGTAATTACTGGTGTATGTCAGGCGTATAGTATACAACAAGTGATCTAATCGTTAAATGTACTTAGATGAGCTCCGGCCGATCTCAACGGTCAATTTTTGTTTTTCATTAAATCAAACTTCGGGTTGGGGTTTAGAAAATCGGTGTCTGAGGTTTATCCATTAGAGGTTATGGTATAGTATCATACCCCAAACTCGATTTAATTCATGGTCTAGATAGAGATATCTCACTAGTAGTACCTGACGTATAGTATAGGCCTGACGTACGCCATTCTGACCCATATATATATATATGGGGAGTTCTACGGTACCCAGGGTGAAATCCGGGGTACCGCATACCTTGAGTAAGAAAACGCTATCCAGAACTTGAATTGACTGATCTTTCTCATATGATACTATACTCTAACCCTTAAAGATCAAAATCTAGGTCTTAATTCTCTAAATCTTGTACCCCAAGATCAACTTAATTAGAAACAATAATCGACGGTTATGATTCGTCCAAATATAAGCAAAAAATCAATGTACCATTTTAGGGTTTATAGTTTATGATTTTGATGATTAGGACCTAGGGTTCACTCATTAAGGGTTAGGGTATAGTATCATGCAAAATATATATATATATATATATATATATATATATATATATATATATATATATATATATATATATGGTGAAATCCGGGGTACCGCATACCAGGAGTAAGAAAACGCTATCCTGAACTTGAATTGATTGATCTTTCGGACATGATACTACACTTTAACCCTTAAAGATCAAAATCGAGGTTTTAATTCTCTAAATCTTATACCCCAAGATCAATTTAATTAGAAACAATAATTGACGGTTATGATTCGTCCAAATATAGGCAAAAAAATCAATGCACCATCTTAGGGTTTATAGTTTATGATTTAGATAATTAGGACCAAGGGTTCACTCATTAAGGGTTAGGGTATAGTATAATGCCCAAAAATCCTGCTAATTCGAGATCTAGATAGCGTTTTCGTATTTAAAGTATGTGGTACCCCGGATTTCACCCGAGGTACCGTAGAAGGCAATGTACAATATAATTTATAGCTGAAAAGTAAAACTGCACCCCCCCCCCCACCCATTCAAATTTTCCTGCCCATAGAGTGATTTTAGGAAGCTGATGTGGCAGAGTGTTAAGCGGGGAAAAAAATAAGAGTCCCCACTTGATTGCAGAACTAACAAACTGTCCACTACCCACCTTTTCTCTGTTTCCCACGTTGGCATATAATATTCATTTATTTTTTGTTTGGGTGAAATAAGCCCACCTTTTCTATTGGTTATTAAGAGAGAGAAGAAAGTCACGGAAAGGGAAGAGCAATTGCAGGCATATTACAGAGAGAGAGGGGGAAAGGTGAAAGGGAGGAGAAGGAAGGAGGCTGCTTACCCTTTTACAGAATCGATCTGCGGAAGGAATGGAAGAGGAGGTTTCTTACCCTTTAACCGTTTTACAGATTTGATTGAGGCTGTCCCCTCCGGCGAGAAGCACAATTACTCGCATCAGAAATCTCCTCCTATTCCCAATTTCAAACAAATCAAAATCCCTAATTATAAGCAAGTCGACGACCCCACTCGCTGATGGAAGTCCTTGGGAGTGGGGAGATCGCGATTGGGAGTACCGCGGACGATCTCGGCGGCGGAGAGGTTATTGACGAGTGCGACTTTCATCTCCGGCAGCCAGCCCACCTCCACCGCAGGTTCCAGATTACCTCCAGAGATTCGCTGCTATCTTCTCTGTCGATTGCTGCAGCAGACAGTGTACAAATGCCGGACAAGATTAACGATGTCGACGTACGCACAGAAGAAACAAAACCACTGAGAGGGTTTTCATGGTAACTACTGCCGACGTCACGAACCCTGCTTATTCTCTCTTCTCTACTTCAGCTTGTCCATAATTTGGCTCCAAATCGCTCCAGCTACTCGCATCCGCGGAGGGCGCCCCCATCATTCTCAAGCCATCGGTTTTCCCCCTCTTTCTTATTAGCTTAAAACTCATAATTGGTCTTTCTTTTGTTACCGTTGTATGTGATTATCCCTTAAGTTTTGGAGAACGGGGTCTGGCCTGTATTGGTTTCTGATGAAATTGGAGGGGGGGTATTTGTATCGATTTGGATGTGTGGTTTCAGCTTACTTTTCCGGTCAAACGCTTAATGCTAAGTTCGCAAGTAAGAGTTGTTGTTCTGGGTGATTAGAGGGCAAAGAAGGGCAGAGTGGAGAAGTACAACATTTTGCTGGACCCTGTCCTTAGTGTAATTCACAAATTAGAAGGTCTTCCACAGACTCATTTGTTTGGAGTTAAGGTTACATTCTGTTGATGATTTATAAAACGTTTGGTGTTTTGAAAATCTAGAATTTCATGTATCCTTGCTCATTGGCGAACGTAGAGTTCGAGTTTGATTAGTTTATGATGGTCGAGGATTTTGGTTTCTGTACTAACAGTTCCATTATTTCCTCTTGGTGGCAGCTACAAAATTAACCGGAACGGGTTCATCATCTAACAGAAGCACTATTTCATATTGCCTCCACTTCTTGCAGAATCAAAAGGTCAACTTCCATCCTCCATCTCACACCATTTACTCTTGAACTCAGTAGGAAAAGAAACACACATGACTTGATTTTAAGCATGTCATGCATTTGGCTGCAAGTGTCAACTTATGGGGTCTATAAACACATATGACTTGGTTTCTGCTTGCGATTCGATCTGCATTTGCTGTCGGTGATGAAGCAAGCATGATAGCGAAGCAAAAGCCAACGTCAACCTGGCTGGGTAGTGGAGATTCAGATTTGAAGCAAGCCCATTTTGATTCATGTTGGTGATTTCCACTTTTCTTTTGTTTTGCTAGAAGTACAGTTTATAATGGTTGCTAGCAATATAGAAACAGATTCTGCTTATAATGGTCGCTAGCATTATAGGTTATATGCTTTGGTTTTGTTTGTAGCTAGGGATTTATGGTTTACCCATTAGGTTTGCTTCTACAATTTGTAGGCGATCTACTATGATGTACCAGCAATGGTAGTGGAACTACAGATTTGGAGGTCTAGCGAAGTATAATGCAACTTACGTGAGAATTGCTTCAATCTGGTTTTGACTCAGATCAAATTCGAAGGGGTGGACGCGATTAGAGTGGAAGCTTCTTACACTATGGAGATGAGACTCACTGCTTTTATTGCATTCCAGTTGGGGAATGCCAGTAACTAGGACCTTTGAGCTCTCCCATGCAGGTAACCATTGATGCTTGCCTTTTCTTCCTTTCGTATTAAAACTTATGCAATCATAATGGATTTGGCATGTTGCTTATACTTTCATCTCAGTTGATTGAGATGGATGGAAGTGCATGTGAGTCTGGTCAGGGTGGTGAGATTCTGCGCGGAAAAGGATAAGATGCTTATCTATGTGTTCATGCCGAACAGAAGCTTGGACTTCCCACTTCTCAGAACTGGTATAATTTGTTTTCATGGCTTCATTGTTTTTTAATTTCAATATGATCTTAGGGGATTTGTTGATATAATAGAGCAAAGCTTTTCCCTTAAGTTTGGTGATTTTGTCCAAGGTTTTGTTCTTCAAAATTGCTAATTGACAGGTGGTCTGAGTTGAAGTCTTCCTTGATATATGTTTTTTATATTGTTGCTAAGGCAGAGTGTATAATTTGATACTTATGCACCACTTTGAAACATAAAAAGCAAGAATGGATCTTTTCCCATGCTTCCTTGGGATCTGTTAACTGTGGTATGTGAACTTCTGGTTATTGGATTGCCTGTTTTCAGCATGGTTTCTTCAGAATAGATCGACTGGAATCTCTACTTTCATAGGTTGGGTTTTGTTTCAAAATTCCCATTTGTCTTCCTCCAACAAGGACGAAGATGTATCATTGTGTACAACTGGAGCTGATTAGTTTTTCTAAACCTAATCTTTTACTGTTATTAGAGAAGGTATCCAACGCATCATTCTTTAAGATGAATGTATTAAGGTAATATAATTTTTAATGTCATAAAGTACAAAGGTTATGTTTTGTTATTGGGACTTTCATTGAGAATGAAATCGGGGTAGGTGAAAAGGGCTAAAGAACGAAGAAGGAAAAAGGACAGGGAAACATAGAAGAAGTAAATGGTTATACAGAAATGAATTGAAGCTGAACAAAAGAGCTTAAGCTGCAGTTTAGTCGAAGAATATCAGTAGAATCATCTTTCAACATCTGGCATATTTTTATCTTCCATTATAAAGAATATAACTAATTATATCAATTTGAGTATGCAAATTTATAAGGTGCTTAACCAATGGTGGACAATTGAAACAGATAGCAAAATACGAATGAGTGTCTCCATAAACATGAAACCCAAGATCATGCCAAACATTGACCTGTATTCTTTATCCTACTTGCAACGAATGAGTTTATACGATCATTTCAATTGATTATAGAAACATAGATTCAAACTATAGGTGCATTGTGTTCAAATTCTTAATAATCCACCCAACAAGCTGGTGCACTTACCTAGCTTACTTTTAATGTGGAATGGAAAAGAGGAAGTCCCATTTTAAAATTCCTGCATCCAGAGATAAAATTGGAAGGATATTTGTCACAAAAAATTAGTTATAATCATGTTGTTATTGTGAATTTTGTTAAAATAGGATAGTACTACACTGATTAATACACACGTATTGCAAAAAAATGTATTTATACAAATATTTTATATGGGTCACAAACAAGAACTAATGAGAAGTAACAGATGTTTGAGATTGGTGTACGTAGAACGCTTATGTTATGAATTTTATCTTTGGCCAACTTCCTTTCACCCGGTGTAATATTTTTATACTTTAAATGTTTATTGTGCCATTCAAAAAGCTGTGCACTAGGATTTTCTTAATGGTTGTGGGAATTAGTTAATAATCTACATAATAATTTATAGTAGAATTAGAAAATTGTCAACGCCATTTAATATTTTCTGGATGGAGAGTGTTTTTTTGGACGAGCAATTTGGAAAGCCGGAATGCTTCTGGTATGTGTTAGCGCGGATGTTAATCTCTCTTTGGATTTTAGTAGGTCCTAACACTCATCCGGCGCACCAAGAAGTATGCTATCTTTGCTCCTGCCTTCCTTTTTATCCCGCAACGGTAACTACATGCCAAAATTTGCTCCCTTCAATTTCTGTTGTTATCTTTATTTGGTTTCAATTTAAGTAGTCGGGGTTAGGTTTTGTGAAAAAGTCAAGTTATATATTGGGTAATCAGGAAGAAGAGTAGATATAATATATGGAGGGGTTGAAGAGAGGGCGGAATATGCAGCAATTTCAATTTTTTGGCGAAGGGATCCAAACAACTCAAATATTTGGAGTTCTTTTATTTTTCACACCACCTTGCAGCATGATGAACAGAAGGAACATGTTCATCTTCTTCCTCTCCCGCTGGTGGCTATAGCGAGCTGAGGAGCAAGGAAAGCTGTTGATCGGCAGAGGAATCAGTTCAGACAAATATTACTTTAGATTATGTTTAATTTTCCGAGAAGTCCCAAATTATTTAAAATATAGATAGTTAGTTAACATAATAAGAAATGAACTCAAATCAATCGATCAATGGGTGGGGTAAGAACTAAATTTTTTACTTAAAATCCACCCACCCATTGTTTTCGTTGTGGGTGGGTGACACCGAATGATGGGTGAATTTGACGATTTTGGTGTGTCAAATGATTTTTAAATATTAGATAATGATGAGTCATAAAAATTTGCATAAAAATAATTTAATATCAATACTACATATTAAGAAAATTTAGAAATATTAAACATAGTTTATTGCATATATAACACCTATTATCTCATTTGCGAACAAAAATTATTTTATTGATAGCTTTCATATGTTAAAATAATCAAATTTATAGTATACATCAAGTAAAAATTATAAAGTTAATTGTAATTTAATTGAATCAGTCATGATTAAAGTTTTGAGATAAGAAAATATAGTATATTATTATAGAATGTGCATTAACATATCATGTGATTTTGCGGGTAATGACCCACCCGCCACCCACCCAAGTTTAGTGAGTGACAAAAAAGTCGACTCACACCCATCCACCACATCAACCAAAACATGTAATGGGCGGGTCATAATCAGTGGGTTCGGGTGGGTTTAGCGGTTGATCAACCCATTGCCCATCTCTAACAGGTAGGCAAGGCCATTGATTTATCGGGAGAGAACATGGTTTTGTTTTCTTTGCGGGTTTACTGTTATGATATGTGGAAGTTGTTGGTGAATTAAATATCATATTTTTAGTATTGGACCCTAACTTTCATTAGCTAACAAAGAGTGGCAAAATTAATAAATTGTTCATCTTAGACATGCGTAGTTAATTCATAAATAATTTAATACTTTCATTCTCCGTCCAATTTATTACTTCTTTTTTATTTTCTTTATTTTCATTAAACACGAATATAAGCATGACACGAGCACGAATAAGCACGGCACGATGAAAATCGTGCCCGGGCCTAGCAAAAATCAACAAATGGGCTGACACGGCACGACACGAAAACTGACGGACCGTGCCAAGCACGGCACGAAATAAACGGGCCCAAAGCGTGCCGGCCCAATGCCCATATACTCCCCAAGCCAAACTACTCTACTTGCCATCGTACAATTTTTAAGTAATTGAGAATTGAGAGCGAGGCAACGAAAAATATAATTTAATAGGATATAAAATAAATAAAAAAATTACCGGTCAACGGGTCGGGTAAAAGCTAGTATATATTATATTGTTAAAACATGTTTTAAATCCAAGCCCAACTGAAAACAAAAAGACTAAAGGACCCTTCCTAGGTCTGCGCAGGATCCAAAAAAAGTGAATGAAAGGGTTTTGAAGAAGAACATCCTTATATTAGTTGTTTAGAGATTAGAGATTAGAGATTTAGATTAGATTAGACTTCAAAAATAACTTTGTCGTTTTTTGCAATCCGACCTAATTGGATATCCGTTCGAATTCGACCTAATCGGGTTGGTAAAATTTGAACCTGGAGAATTTTCAATTCGTATGGGTAAAACCCGAATCGAATTATTTCAGATAGGCGGGCATGGATTTCTCACTATCCATCTCCAATCCGCCCGATTGTACACATGCATATGTATTTTGTATAGATATGGTCATTATTTTTCTCACCATATTTTATATTTATTATACATTTTTAATTATTTTCATAAAATCATATTATTTTTTAGCAATTTTCTTTGAATTGCCGTACCTTTTCACTCATGTAATGTTTGCATATGTGTGAGTGTTAACATGTTGGTTGGAGCTGTTAAGAAAAATTATTACCAATGGATAACCGTGGATACCCATAACTCGATATAGTATGGGCATAGTTTTGATTTTATACCCGATTCTTGTGTGTATGGATTTGATAAAACCAAACTAATAGAATAATGGATATGCACTATCTGCCCCGCCGAATTCGTTGCCATCACTAGATGAGACAATGCAAAAAAAAAAGTTTTTTTAAAACTTTCTAGTTAATTTGAACTAAATTGTGGAGGATTAGTATTAAAATTTTATTAAAAATATTTATTGATTTCTCCATGTGGCATCCACATCATCAATGTTTGGTGAATTTTAACGGAAAAGGTGTTGCCCGCCAATTTGATGGACAACCAACACATCCAGCTAAACGAGTCTACACGGTGAATAGTTTAGAATTTAGATCAAGATAGGAACAAACCAAAGTTAGTGGCGGAGCTAGGGGTTTAGGGAGTGTCTCAGGACATTTCTAAATTTTGAAAAAAATGACTATCCAATTCTAGTAATAATTTGCATACAGGTATAAGTGGTAGAATCAATGATTTGAACTAGGACATTGCTATTATTGGTGAACATATTTTACATTAGGCTACAACTTATTTGTGGTTGTACTTTAAACACAATTCTAATAGTAAGAATGCTATTACCTTCTCCAATTATTTTCAAAACCTAACAATTAAGTTCAATTACGGGTAGGGATGCAAATGAGCCGAGTCAAGTTGACTTTTACCCCAGTTTGAGCTCGGCTCGTTTTTTAACGAGCCGAGTCGAGTCGAGTCGAGCTAGCTTGTTTACTAAAATCTTGACTTTTATTTGGTACTTCATTTTGTATATCATAATACATATGATTTATTTTGTTAGCTAATCTCATATTATACTTTGTTGGTATCATCTATTATTTAATTAATAAATTTTAATTATTCCAAATCATGTTATTTCATAGTATCGAAGCAATCTATAATACATAATTTCTTTTTAAAGTATAAAATAAGACATATTTGCTCACATACTCAACGTGTTAAACTTTATATATGATATATTATTTAACAACCACATGAATTAAATCATAAGATATAGATTGATTCGTCCATAAGTCGGTAATCGAGTTGGCTCTCTAGCCACATGTTGAGACATATCATGAGCTCTAAACGAGCCAGCTCACGAGTTTAGCTTAACAAGCCACCAAGTCGAGCTAGCTCGTGAGTTTCACGAGCTGAACAAAGTTTAGCTCGTGTTTGGCTCATTTATTAACGAGCCGAGTTTCGAACGAGCTTTTTTTAGTTGAACACCGAGCCGCTCGCGAGCAGCTCGACTCATTTGCATCCCTGAATTACGGGCTACCCTTATTCCCACTATTCTATCATATTCATGGGTTTACGTGCTTCTTAAAGTTATCTATTTTATGGATTGTAGTTGTAAGTGTTGAAATAGTATGTTCAACTTTGGGTTACTTTAAAAACAATTTTCGGAATCTAATAAGCGATCAGTTCGTGAATGATTGTATAGTCGGATAAAAATTTTTGTCGAGCGGTGTAGACACCGAATGTAATTTACAACTTTTTCGGAATATGAAAATATCTCATGAACTTTTGTTGTAACATGGACTAGTTAGATATTTTGATATTTTCTTACATAAGAATTATTTAATTTTTAAATATTTTTTGAAAGAGTACATGCATCCTATTTAAACTTCCAGCCTCCGCCAGTCTATCTATATAAATTTTGAAAGAATTCAAGTATTAAACCTAAGAAAAAGCATGGTCCATGAAACCGTACCATATCGGCGATTCAACCACGAAATACCAGTATTAGATGCTAAATCGGTAGGCGGTATTTAACGATACTACTGTTGACCTACGATTAAACCATGATTTTATCATAAAATAGTAAAATACCCTATCGCTGACATTTCCGGTAGGCGGTAAGATGTCCGGTACGGTTTTGAGAAAAAGTGAAAAACGGTAGGAGCACTTGTGTCTTCGGTCTTTTACTCATTCCCCAGTGAAACGCCATCGTAGCATTGGTTCTGAATTACTGCTGTAAATATAGATTGGGCCGCAAACCCTTGACTTGACCAAACTATTCCTTAACCAAACCCTTCAGCAAGCCAAAAATCCCTAACCGTTTCCCTCGAGCCTCTTTCTCGTCCACACGCCGCGGCCGCCGCCGCCGCCTGGCCAGGATGAATCCCCATCCTTTGGTGGATGCAATCCGCGAGAAAGTAGTCGCCTACAATGAGACGCTGAGAGCTCACCGCGAAAAAAGTTCCGGTGACCATGAACTTTCGATAGCAAAGGAAGTGAGGGAGATGGAGAAAGAAATTGAAGCTCGCCGCCGCCGTATCCATCCTGTTACATTTCCGGAGTCGGACGCGGATGAGGTTAATCGCAGGATAAACCAGATGTTGAACAGAGATATGGTTACCCCGGCTTTCGGAGACCTTTTCGTGGAGGACCCTGAGACAATCATTTCTCGGCTCGAAAATATCACGGGAGGACTAAGTCAGCTCATTATGTTCAGTCGGTAAGCAATCAGGTTCAGTCCGTGTTTCATCGTTGAGCATAATGTCAAACTTCAGTACTACTGCTGTATAGTTGAATTAGGTCATTAGATACATGATTAGCCCCCTTTCTTTTTCCCATCTATGTATACATATAATCGAAGGGAGCAACTCAACCCTGGTGACTTGGACTTCGACGTTGATTCGGTGGTAGCTCGTTGCTATCTTTGGCTGGATGATGCGTATGCGTAAGTTGTTGTGAGCATATTGTGATTGTTATTAGTAGTCAATTGAGGCTTTTTAGTTGTAATTTAAATTTGGTCTTCAATTTGTATTTGTTCGAAATAGGGCGGGTCTCCGAGCATTTGTGGATCCGATAACTAATCTCAAGAACAGCTACGCCACTGAAAATGCACAGGGGTAATTGGGGTTGTTCTCTCTATATTTTCCCCACTTATTGAACAATGTTCATTGCGATTTTGTATTCTCGCAATCATGGATTTGCTGTTTTGTTTTGCAGATTGTTGGATGAGCTTGAGGCGCTGGGTGTAGAAATGCAAGAGGAGATTGTAGCGATAGGCCAGGTAAGATAGGAAGGATAAAATCTGAAACACGCTTAATAACTGGTACAATGATTTTAATATCAAGTAAATGGCTAACACATATTTTCCTTTTTGGATTGTCATTGCAGCTTGCCGGGCTTCCGTGGCGATTGGGGGAGTAGAATTGCAAGTAGAGATTGTAGCATTAGGCCAGGTAAGACAAGAAGGATAAAATCTGAAACACGCTTTAATAACTGGTACAATGATTTTCAATCAAATGGCTAATATATATTTTCCTATTTGGATTGTCATTGCAGCTTGAGGGCTACCGTGGACATGGCGGCGTCTGACATCTGTTGGTTAAGTCTATTTTATATGCTGGATTTGATATGTATGGGTACAATCAATGATAGGATTAAGTTGGTTAAATCTATTTTATTTCCAACTTTTTGAGCTTTTCTTGATGTTTCCATGTGCCATGTTTTACTTCCCTACACAGAGTACTATCTTTGCGTTGGGCCTGAAGCTCTGTTTCTTCTGTCATGGTTAGCACATTTGTATGTAGGAATTCTCTTGTTGTGGGTGGCATCATCGTCTTGTTCAAACCACCTGCTTTCCATGGTAATACTATATATATGGTGGCGTCTTCGGTGCACTCACTTTTTTGGGTGCATTCGGTGCACTCACTTCATAACCGTCATTTTAAACATGCGATTTATGTCAAAATGATGTCATTCATCACTTATGATGTGATGAACAATAACGCACATGAATTTGCACAAAAATCATTGAAGATTTACTTTAATTTGAAGGATTTAGAGTTTAGGTATTTAGGGTTAGGGTTTACAATTTGGGGTTTAGGGATAGAACTCAAAATTGGAGGTTTAGGGCTTAGGGTAATCCACTAATTAGTTGTGATCATCTGTTATATCATCATATTACACTAATTCTACAAATTAAAATTCAAAATCCAACACTTTAAGACTAGTTTTTGAGTTGGGTGTATTGAGCGCACTCATTTTTGTGAGTGGACCGAAGTAGTCACCATATATATATATATATATATATGTTTGCAATTCAAAATTAGGAAGATAAAAAATAGACACCCTTAAGAAACTGGGAAAAGCAGAACAGCTAGAAACCGAGAATTAGAGACATACAATCTTCAGCCCTTTTGCCCTGCCCTTTATGCTGCAATGGTTGAAGGTACGTAATCAAATTGAATTAAGGTTACAGCTGCTTTTGTATACTCGCGTAGTAACAGTTGCTCCAACTTTTGCTGTCTTTGTAATGTTCTTGCCCCTCAACTGCATGTCCTTACTTGCCCTTCAGGCTCTTTGGCTTGTGGTGCCTTGCAAGAACTTAAGTGAGGGGATTCAGAGACAGTCCGCTGATGTTGAAGAGGTTGACCATCATCACTAGACGTCTTATTTTTTCATATTGTTTTGTTTTAATTTTGAGGAAAAGCCGAAAAAAGGTATTATGTGGATTTTCCAATGCATTCGTAACCGGATCGGATTCTGAATTGAAAAGATTAGTGGTTGATTGTTTAACAGTTGATCGTTATAGATTCATTGGTTACTCTATAATGAATCGAGTGTCTTGGTTCAAAGATCAACGAGAGTCCTAGACTTACACACCTCCACTAAGCACATGAATCAAAATTAGATAATTTAACCATTATTAGTTGGTATGTTAAAATGTTGGGACTTCCACCACAGTTTTATGATACGTTTAGGCAAGAGCCTACATTTATTGATTGACTGAATAAATTTTTAAATGAAAACATGTGTTTATCTAAATTATATGAATTTGTTTATGGTTAGTCATAATTTCATTCCAAAATTAGTGTATTATATGTATTTTATATTACTGCGCATGAACGATTCTATCAAAAGTTAATCAGCCATTCTATAACGATTAACCGTTGAACTATCATCCGCCAACTTTTTCGTTCCGACATCCGATCCGGTTCGCGAAACATTTTCAATAAATCAAAGAATATTTTGGATTCCAATATATAGACAGTAGGACTAACGTCATAACTATATGAAACAAAGAAGGTCCACTTAGAGCTATGCTGCAGTCTATTGAAACAAATGAGCCTTTCGATCATTCAAAGATTGTCAGTCTTGGCAAATGATCTAACAAGAGAGTGCTAAGAAAGTTATTGAATCACGCGGAGTAGAACATTGTTTACACTTCAACGAAATGACTCAAGCAACTAAGAAGTTACTTTCACGTAGGTTCCATACAAGAAGCAGCCACAATGTTTTCACTAAATTTTGAATTCATGCCACAAAAGCGCAAAATTCACAACTCATGTACGACTAAACTACACAGCTCAAACTAAACTAATTGCCTCAGGAGTTGCATTTCAACAAAGGCAAATCATCATGGAATTCGAACATTTCACCGATAATAACATACTTCCTGTAGGTTAATCATCATCATGGGGGGTGAGGGCATCCATCGAGCTCACGACAAGCTGCAATGTAATAGCAAGGCAAATCGTGATGGAATTCACACACAGACTTCAATTTGTATTGTTCTATGCTTGGGTGTATGTTTACCTGCTGTAACTCTTCCAGGTGAGAAATCACGTAGGCGAGACGTGGTTTGAAGCGCCTGTCGAACTTCGCTCGACACCTACAAATTAAATAGAGAGCAAAAGTATGTGGGTAGCATCTTGTGGGACAAAACTTAACATTCTTGTTATGTAAAATAAAACAAAAAAACATGGACAAAATGAAGAGATTGCTTACCCCACAAAATCCCCAAGTTCACGCAGCTTGTCAAACTCGTTCATTTGGACTTGTAAGGTCTCCATGTCAAATCTGTGGGAAGAATAATTAAATCGTACTGGCTCGTTGTGTTCAATAAACCGAGACAATGAAGCAAAAAAATAGATCCTGTACCTGATGAATAGTTCCTCCATCTGTTCCTTCTTTTGCCGAATTGCCGTACTTTTGCCGAGGTAGAGCGCAGCACTGCAGATATCAATCAACCATAACATAAAACAATAAATCATTCACTCACAGCCTAGCAGGCTTGAACTCATTTTAACAATGTGAACTAAGACGAGTGGGCTTTCTCTAACTTGAGCCCATTTGGACAACTAAAACTAGACCATACGAGTGGGCTTCTAACCTGAGCCCAAATTTGGCTGTTTAAACTAACACGACATGGTTCAACTTCATGTTTGTTTGACAAGCGGTCACGGATAAAAAAACCAACTTCACCGAGACCTGGACTGGTCGCAGATAGATTTGGTTGGTTATGAAGAAAAGTAAAGGGACAGAGTCTATTCTTTTATAATTTTTTGTTGCTAAAATTATGTTTTGGTACCTTTTTATGTTTTTTTCACATTATAGTACCTACACTTTTAATATTTGAAAATAGGTCCAATTTTTTGTTGGGAGGTATTTCAAATCACTAGTTGTTGAAATGTATTTGAAGTTGACAAGTAATATACTAGACATGTATTTGAAAATCAGCCTATAAATTTTACACAAATCTAAATATCAATGTAATTAATAGATTTGTCGCATAAATCCAAATCAGAAATACCAAACAAACCGTTAAATAAGAAAGAAGAGCATAAATCCAAAATCAGAAATAGATTTGGTGCATATATACTTACAGACCGGTGGAAATGCTATCACTAGCATTTCTGAGCGAATCGATCAACTCCTGGATGGAGTCGTTGAGCTCTCCAGGTCGGTCCATGAGCTCCTCAAACTCACCGGGCTCCTTCAACAAACCTTCGGCTTTCATTATGGCTAGCTTGACTCTGAGAGCATCGATTGCTCGTTCCCTTCTTCCGCCTAGCGAGTCCGGGTACACACAGTTCCCCCGCGCCAGCATTGCGAGCAACCCGTCGCTGTGAGCAGCAGTATCGGCTTCCAAACAGGTCTTCATTCTCCTGTGCGTGTCACGTGAGGGCGCCACCCTGCTCAGCAGCTCCTCCTCTTGTGCTACCAAGTCATCAATCCCAACCTTGGCCCTGAAGTATTTGTCCAGTGCCGTCTCTGGCTCATCGTCGATGATGTTCTCTCCGATTTCCTCATGCCTCAACTTCCCAGCCATATCAAAGAGGGAATCGTGTGAGTGAATTCTGGTTTTTGGGGGGGAAGCAGTTTACGTTGTGTGTGTGTGAGAGAGAGAGAGAGAGAGAGAGAAAGAGAGCTGGTGGGTATTTATCCACTTCACTTATTGTGGCAGGGGAAGACACTTGCCAACACCCAACATGAACAGGCCGAGGGGGAATGTAATTAGTGGTGCAATTAATTAACACATCCTTCCTCATGGTAAAATTGACTAAGTGACATCATTTTTTATTCACCATTTTTCTTAAAATATATCAAAGATCTGATGTAACAGCAGAGGTGTGACGTAATAGCTAATTTGAATGTTGGTCATTTGGCATTGAAGACTTGGGATTTATTTTATATAAGAGTGATATTTGTTTTTTTTAAATGGTTTAGGTACAACTTAAGGAAATATATTATTGATATAGCAAGGATTTTAAGAATGCGGGTGTTAGGGGTCGTTTGGTAAGCACGTAATGTAGAATTCGTGTATTTGAAGAATTCATGTATATGGTAGGTTGAGTTGTGAGAACTTGTGTAATATTACAATGCATTGTTTGGCTTGCATGAGTTCTCATGGTAGAACCCACATAATTTGGCATGAAATCTCAAATACTTTGGGTAAACCCAAAGCATTTGAGATATCATGGTCACATGAATTCTAAAATTACATGGTGCACCAATATCATGATATATGTCCAAAAATGAAACAAGAAAAACAGTGAAATCGCAGATATCATGTAATCTTGAAATCTGTGGGTAGATTACATGCTTACCAAACGACCCCTTAGTGTATTTTGTGATGAAACTCTGATTTAAGTATTTAATTTTGATTCAATCATTACATACTGCTAAAATCGCATATAAATTTGGATTTCAAAAGATGATTTTTTTTTTCAATCGGATTACCCGTATCAAGGATTAAAAAATCATATCGTACCAGGAAAACATCCTACCGGAGGCTAAACCGGTAGGTGGTATTAGCGGTATAACCACACTAAATATATTTATTTATTAATAATACTTTGCAATATTATATTATGCGAAAAGTGGAATGTCACAAATTAAAGTAGCTTCTAAAATCAAATATGCACTTATTTTATAAAAAAAAAAAACCAACTCAATACAGAGTGTCCGTCTGTGATACTTTTATTAAATAAGCATTATTTGTGTGGTATATGTTTATTTTATAACAAAACCAAGTCAATAAATATGGTTTGTAGTTTATTTAACACTTTATAACTTTCCTTTATGTAGGTTTTTATTTTTGTGTGAGAAGAACATAACATCAATATTTAATTACTATGTGCAAATAATTAAACTTTTGCTGGTATCCACATCCAACCCGCAGTGTATAGTGGTTAACCACAACCCAATGCGAAGTTGATTATGGGTAGCATAATTCTATATCCCCAATTTCGACCCCTATCTAGTATGGCAAGATTTTGCAAACCTTGTGAAATAGATGATTGTATACTTTAATGATCTTGTTATCCCAACAAACATAGTTTTAAACAAGGATTGAAAAATCATACCGTACTAGCGATTCGACTAGGAAAAACCTTATATCGGAAACTAAACCGGTAGGTCGTATTTAGCGATCTAAAACGGTCGAACTACGGTTAAACCACAATTTCGAGATAAAATATTTTACCACTGACTTTACCTATACAACCTCATTTACAGTTTTACAAACCTTGTTTTAACATTACCCAATTTATTATCCTGGTAGAAGAACTAAAAATATATTTCCTCGCCAAGAATAATCATTTCAAACATGCTCATAAATTCAATTGTTTTTATTCTTATTAATCTGGAGGGGTTGTTACTTATTTATTTAGTTAAGAGATATGGACCAGAAGCGAACCAGTGTTGCTTGAGGAGGGGACGACACTGGCCAACAGGCCAATGGAATTGGAAATGAAAGTGGTGCACTTAATAAACACAGTCTTCCTCACTGTAATAAACAGAGTGACCTCACTTTTTATTCACCACCAAACAGAGAAAGGAAAGAAAATTGGATAAAAGATATGTTTCTGAAAGATCGGACGTAATTGTACATGTGTGACGTGTTGAGAAATGACAGGTCTTGGACAAATATATATATGGCAAGTCTGCACAACTATGACTCTTAACGCAAACATACAACCTCACTTTTTGCCAACTGTTGGTCTTGCTCTCTCTTGTAAACTTGACTTTGACTTTCCCAACTTGGATATTGTTCGTCCTGCTTTCGGTTTCAGAATCAGGGGTTGGTACGCTTTTTACTCTTTGGAGAGGGTTTTAAATTTGAATTTGGGGCTTAAAAAATGGATTTGGAAGTAATATATTTTGTATTAGGAATTATTTTAGTCTCCAATCCGTTGGTCGAATTGTCATTTTAATAAAAGTATTTATGATAATTTATCCTAATTACATATAATTTTTTTAAAAAAAATTACATGTACATTTTTTAAATTTAGCAATTTGAACAATCAATAAGATTCTAAGTTCTAACCCACCTATCCCAATTTAAATCAGTTTCTACTCATTCATATTTTGGCTCACTACTATTAAGACCATCTCCAGCAAGGAACAAAAGTGCTAGAATTTGGAGGTAGATTTGGCATTTTAGCCAATCATAATGTGATTTTTGCTCCAATAAGATCTAGAAGTTCTAAAAGTTCTAAATTTTAATTTTCACTTATAATCTCGTTTAGTGTAGATTTTATCATTTTAACTAGATAATTTGTTAATCATTTTTCTACTTTTGGCATATATTTTTTTGTCGTTAAATATGATGTTGTCACTCTTAATTATTTAATTTAATGGATTGGATTGGTGGATTGGATTGGATTTGATTGGATTGGATTGGATTGGTGGATCCATGAATCAAATGGACCCACCACCAACATCGCAGCCTCTAACTCCCGTCAATGAGACCCTCCAACATTCCACTTCCACCACCATTACATGCTCCTAAGGTAAGCAATCCCACTTCTCTCCCCCTAGAGGTGGCAAATAGATTGGATTGGTGGATTCATTGATCAAATGGATCTAATGGATTGGATCAAGTGGATTGGTGGATTATCCATGAATCAAAATAACATTATCAACCAAGGACCAATATGTAAAATGTGAAAATTTTAGGTACTAAAATGTCATAATGAAAAGTTTTAGGTACCAAATGTAATTTTCCAATAATATTTTTTGTATTAAAATTAAATTTTAGGTACAAAATGTAACAGAAAATTAAAATTAAAAGTACTTAACTGTAGTTTGCTAATGATCCATGGATCGGATCCATGAATCCACCAATCCAATTGGATTTGGATCAAATGGATTGAATTTGAATGAATTGGATTAGTTGGATATTTTTAATGAATTGATGGATTGAATTGGTGGATTGGATTGAAATTGTCACCTCTACTCTACCCCTGTCTTTTTTTGGGTCGAAATTACCCATGTCTTTGGCTCTTTACTTAGAAAGAAAAAGAAAGGATTAATGTTTTTATATGACCTGAACTTTACCATTCTTTAGCATCCTGATTTTTTGGCAAAATACACTTGCATAGCCAAAACTATCACCTTTGTGCCACTTATAGCCACTTTTGGCGAAATACCACTAATAGCCACTTTTGAAAGATGTTGTGTGCCAGATATAGCCGTTTCTGTTAATGACACCGTCAACTTATTTGACGGTCGGCTGACGAGGCGCCTAATCATTAAACACGTTAGCGACAACTAAGCAAATAGTGACACGCCAGCTTAATAATTTATTTATTATTTAAAAAAATCAATCTAAAAAATTAACCCTATACGCCCATCTACCTGATTCGCGCGAGCTTTCCTTCTTCCCCATCTCTTGCCAGAAAACGAAGTTAGGGTTCTTCCCAAATTTCATCTTCCCCACGAAGAAGATAGACATACTGATCGATGCGTCTATTACTCCTCACCATTATCCACCAATCTTCTTCTACTTTCTGAACGGCTCGGCGCTTACTCCTCTTCCCCAATCCATAGCCACAGTAACGAAGCAAGAAAAGAACCTTACCAGTCGCGACACAGAAGTAAGAGCAAAAATCTCCCTTTCAAGTGCGATTAGGGTTTCGACAAACCCAGTTAAATCGCGTCTGCTACGGGTTGATTCCAAGATTCCTTCAAAGCATTCAGCAGAAAACAAGCTTCGAAGGACTCCGCCAAAGCTCGCCGCCGGTTGGTCAACCCATTGGATGCAAGTATGTTTTTATCGAAGAAGGAGGAAAATCGGGATTGGAGGAAAAATCGGAATTGGAGGAAAAAGGGTATATCGATGGTGGAGGAAGGAATAGAGGTGGGGTACGTTGGTCGTCGGAGGCAGATCGTCGACTTCGTCGCCTTCGTTGCCTTCGTCTCCTTCGTCGACTTTGTCTCCTTCTAATAAGGGTGGGTGGATTCGAAGAAGAGGATAAGACGGAATAAAAAGTGGGTGGGTGAAATTAGGGGTTCTGTGTTTTTTTTTTTTTTATTATCCACGTGTAAAACTCAGGCGGGCCACATAAGCCTCTCCGTTTGCCCAGTCACACTTAACGTTAACAACGTTAAAGAATCTGACAGAAGTGGCTATTAGTTGCACGGTTGAACCATCTCGTTACTCTGTTTTTTTTTAATCAAGATCGTCCCAAATCCTATTCCGAAGAATCGAACGTCTTAAGCCGAGGTTTGGGTCATATCAAGTGGTATCAGAGCCTGGTTCAAACGCAGTGGCCAAGACGAAGAAGAACGTAGCCAACACTGCGCCCTGGACAAGATCGAAGGGTTCTGTAGACAGCGACCCTACAGTTCGACGTTCTGAAACAAGGGGCGCGGCTCAACACGAGGAGACGACTCCGAGTGAAGATCGAGTGATGGGGGACCCAACCATCAACAATTCTGATCTATTGCAGTAGATTGTAGCGACGTTCCAGACGCAATTCGACCAAATCCAAAAACAATTGGCCGAATTACGCACGACAGTGCAGGCCCCTGTTCCGCCGAGAAATTTCGCAGAACACGGCGGCAATCGCAGAACTCAGTCAGAGGA